TTATTCCTACCAAGTGAAAAATGCTTATTGTTCTAATTTTTGGTGTTTGTAATATAAACATGCACACCATCTTTTGTTTCACATTTTCAAAGTTTTTATGCTAAAAAAACATGCATTTTTAACAGCATACAAAGGCTAAGGTGGACTGCCTATTTATTCTTAGTATTAACTTATAGAAGTAATGTTTATTTCATATGGGAGTAATAAGATACGTAGATGTAATGTGACACATTGCTTCTGGATGTATTTTTTCTTGGTTGAAATCATTGTCTTTAAAAATATTTGCACAAACTTTTGCTCCTGCCTGTGGTGATAGCTCTTTGTAGCTCTTGCAAAGCCTTTAACTCATTCAGGGGCTTGTATTCTTTTGCCTCATGTTGTATAGTTTCCTAAATAAATTATTTTCTTGCAAATGTTACGTTCACCTAAATGTTTTTAAGAGGTAACTTGGGGAGTAGATTGCAATGCTAGTCTCCTTTACTTTCAGCAAAGCACTTACACACATCCATTAGTACAACAGCATTGCTGCTTATATGGCAGATCCCTTTGTGTCACAAGCTCTGTCAATCCTCTTCACAGCATCACCTGTGTCTTTTGATTCAGTTACTGAAGACCATGACATATCTTTGCCTCTGAGTTGGGGCAAAACAGATGAAGAACAAGGAAAGAGTAGTTTTTCATTTTGTTTACAGGATTAAAGCACACACAGGTGATAGAAATTACTCTGAAGACTCACAGAAAAAAAATTTTGGCAAAGTGGGGGACCTTGCCATTCTCAAACCTGATCTACACTTAAGGATTCAATGATGGAAATGCACCACCAGCTGAGGTCTATCAGAGGTTGTTCCCAGGACAGAGGCAGCAGGTGCAGTGTTGACTTTCCTCTGAAAAAAAATTAAATAAAATATTTGATGTTTTTAGAAGGCATTTTTATAGAATTAAGTCTTTCCACGATTATTGGTAATTAACTGGTATTTGCAACTACCCAGACTAAGCACATGGAGAGAAAAAAATGCCGAGGATTGCAAAGACTGTGTTTGAAAATAAACTAAAGGTATCTCCTGTTTTACGTTATTTTTTCATTGTAGTATCAATATCAATGAGTAAAACAACAATGTGTTCAAATTAACTTCTTATTTCTTTTGACTTACATTTTTATGTTTCAAAAAAGCAGAAAAAGCCTTTTTTCCAGCTCTAAATTCACTCAGAAAAATGTGTCAATGCTGAGTAAGTAAATACTTGAATTTAATAAATTGCAATCATGAAATCCTTAAAAAGTTTTTTAAAGGCTGTTTTGAATTTTTACTTATCTTCTTCGTAAAATTCTAACAGGATATGAAGGTTATTTTGAGTTACACTTACTGTTTACTAAACAGTTTCCTCAGAAGCTGCATGATGCTTCTAAAACACAAACTGTCCAGTGGAACTGATAGGGGCCTGCTTTAACCTTGGCCTGGTTAAAATCCTTGGGTGTTTCAAGACTTCAGAGTTAATTGTATCAGAATGGGTAAGTAGTTATGAATTTGTAAGTTTGTATTTGCTGGGTGGATAATTTTCAAAATTATTAGTATCATCAGTGTTTTTATTAATAAAGTGTAACTGAGCTAACAGGTTTTTTTATGGTTTTTTTTTTATTTTATTTTTATTTCTCTAGCCTCCAAAACTCTTATAAATAGTATGCTGCGGGACCCTTCTCAGATTCCAGATGGAGTGCTAGCAAATCAAGTCTATCAGGTATTAATCACACTTGTTTTGTTTGCTTTAGATTTTTTTCCTTTGGCAATTCTGTTATCTGCCTAGCAGAGTAAAAGATTTTAAACCTCATTTAATTACTGTCATCATAAACTATCAGTGAGGTCAGAGTGCACTATAAATGGCAGTGCAATATTTGTGAGGGGAGCATTTCACTTTTTAATAGCTCACTTTTATAGTGAATAAAAGCATTCCGTTTTTGTTTTCTGTGATTAAATCTGAACAGCATCTGATAGCCTTTTTGAGGAAAAGTAATTACTGTTTTTAAGATACTCTTTAACTATAATGGTTTTGTAGTTGCCCATCAGTATACTACTTCTCTTATTTGTCTGCAGTGTACTGTGAATGACTGTTGTTATGGACCACTGGTGGACTGCATCAAACAGTATCCTTTCCCATAAAATTTTAGGTGCACAATTGATGAGCTTAGACTGTGTGGAAGAGATGTGTCTAGCTTTAACCTGACATAAAGTTCTGCTTCACAAAACACATTTCATACTCCTCTCTTTTACATTCAATCAGCTAGAGGGTCACTGCAGAGCTTTCTCTTAAGTAACAAAAATCAGATAGACCATGGGAAGATGTCAGTTTGCTGGTTACACATTCATATGCCTGATTGAATCTCTTTGGTTTTGATTAGTTGAAATGCATACCTGGTTTTTGCTTAAGGCTAAGTGACCATGCTTTGAGTGGTGGAGTTGGACTAGATGATCTCTGGAGATACCTTCCAATCACAACTATTCTGTGATTAAATTAATAAATTTCACAGATAGTGTTCAACATTATGGCTTTGCTTTGTTACGAATATGAGTTTTAACTGAAATTTTTTCAAGTGCAATTCAGGTGTGATTGACCTGATGATTAGTATTTTTAAACTCCTATCTGACATTCCAGTTCTGTTCTTTTATTTTCTCTTCTTCTTAAAGGAGATTATACTAGCTGTAGTAATAAACCATTATAAATCCTGAATTTGCAGGGTTATATTTTTTTTGTCCTGTTAAAGTAGTTGTTTAGAGAACCATAGTGTGTACACTGAGGGAACTCAGTGTGGCACTGAGTGTTCCAGACTAAGATTGGAATTTGGTGGGAATGATCGCTAAGAACCCAAATCTATTTTAATGAAGTCCTGCAGGAGCAGCTCTTCTGTTTCAGTCTGTTGTCAAAGGAAAAATTTCAAAATCATGATCTCCTAGCACTAAGCAGGCTTGTAAGGCAATTCCCTCCCAAGTCCTAGAGAATCCTTGCATGAATCTCTGCATATAGTCTGGGGGAAGATTTTGGTTTCACTGTATAGGTGCAGGGTAGGAAAGCTAAAGTGATGTTTAGTTATGCATGAAAAACAGTACTTCTTGTAGTTGTGATACAGGTAATTGTCACTCTTTAAGAATACTTTCTTTCCACTAGAAGCACTTGTGTCTACTACAGCCTCAGCCCTATCCCCATAAACTTTAGCAGCAGCAGAATAAAGTTCTAATTGTCATTGTGTTTTGTGCTTTTAACTGTAGTTTTAAATATTCATTGAGATTATCTTCATGATTAAACAAAGTGCTCTGAAAGTGGATTAGTCTAATAAGCCACACATTTTAAAGGGTTGTTGATTGCTAGTTTTCATACCTAGAATTTTAAGATTAATATTTTTTGCATGAGCAATCTGGCTGTAGTCTTATGAAAGTGCCATGTTTAAAAGTAATAAAGACACATATATAGAATTATGAACCATTTTTAAGACTTACTTGCCTGCAGTTTAGAAAAGATTTTTATATCCTCTTCGGATTCTGGCTCAAATCAGTTGTTGAATATGCAGTGACACCAATGAGAGTAATGAGGAGTTTCTCAATTCAATTTGGCACAGGAAAGTTTAATACTAAGCTGTGTGAGTGCATTACTGCAAGTATGTTGCTGAATTAGATGTTAATTTTGAGGTGCATAAAATAGTTAAAAATCAATTTAAAGTTAAGGTTTTAAAAGCATAATGTCTTCTGAAGGATTGCATATTGATTTTAAATATAACTATCTAATTGTATATGCAGGGACCAAAGTATGAAGTCAACCTCTTTGTAAATGCCAAGAGGCTATTTTTCAGTAATAGTTCAGATGCTTACGGGAAACTAGGCTGCTAGATTGCATGAGTAGAAAATGGCTTGTGAGGTTATTTACAAGTTTTGCCCCATGGTCATTGCCATACATCAATAACAGGTATTATTATAGACTAAGTGTTTTTGCTTATGGTGCATTGTAAATTCTGTTTGCAGTATTTTTCTTACCTTTTTGCCATTCTTTGTTTTTCCCTTTTGTTCTGAAATTGCTAGTAGAGTTTAACATAATATATAGTTTGATATAAGCTGTATGTACATATGAAATGATTCCACAGAATTATTTTTTTGCTCTTCACTATGAAGTGCTCATGTAAGTAATTAACTGTAATGGTAAGGCGATCTGCAGCTTAAGCTTTAAGAAGTTACTTTAAACAGAATTTGGAACTTAACTGCTTTTAACATAAAACCTTTTATCATATTGTTCCAAAGGATTCTTCTTAAAAGCTTCCAGAATAGAACTTTGACCTCCAGGAGGGCTTCTGAAAAATCAATTAAAAGGATGTTTTTTTACAGTAAGATGTTTCAGATGGATGTAGTACCTATCAATTTAAGAATATAAAGAAAGAAAACCTTTTTTTTTTTTTTTATTCCAGCAAATCCTTTGCTGGATTGGAGAATTGATTACTAATCAGTAAACAGCAATTTTAAAGGTATTTAACTTCATGTTTTAGGATCACACTTCCTTTTATATTTAGAAGAATAAACAGTAAAATACAAATGGAAATATTGCCCTTGATTATATTGAATAAATATGGTCAAATGGTTTTTAATTCTATAAAAGGTATGTTGTTGGTACAAAAATCTGATCTTTGAAAAGTTGTGTATGCTTCTAAAAATCCCTATAAGGATTTTCAAAACTTAGAGTTCAAATCACTGATCACTTCTGAAACACAGATGAAGGCAAATAAATTCTATGATTAATTACTTTACCTATGATGTTTTTATGAAGTTGCTTCTTTTCCAAAGTAATCTGCCATTTCTTAACCTAAAGCTATCAGCGCTATTGGGCATGAGCACGAAGTCTTGCTGCGAGAAATGCTTTTGGAAAAAAACCTCTCTTTCATAGGTAAGAATCTGTAATAGAGGCTAGCCAGTGAATTCTTAACTTCAGAGATCTTGGTAACTGTTTACCTAGGACAAAATTCATCCCAA